CATTGTTGCGTCAATTGAATTTGGAAATTGATAGCACATACAGGTTTTTTGAATCCAAAGACAGAGCCGATGCAACACAGAGGAACGGAAATCAAAAACCACAGTCCTATTATCGCTAATAGAGTTGTCGCAGGAACTGCCCCTGACGACTTTGCTGTTACAAGGAAAAAGTTTAAGATGAGGAAAATGGAAAATATGATCCTGCATTACAGATATACACGTGTTAATTCTCAACCAATCATCACAATAAAAGGAGCGTATTGCTTAAAGATAAAATCAATAATTACGCAGGGAACATAAAAGCTGTCAAAAAGACATTCTTCTTCCAGGATTCACCGCCAAACGTCTTATAAACACGTGCAGACGTATAGCCCGCAATAGAGCCAAAAAGCATGTAAAAGATGATCATGACAGTAGCCAAAGATCCTCGATTTGACGGGGAAAGGAAACCAAGGACGGCAAACACTATGAAATGGATTCAACATAATAATAATTGTTTTTTAGTATGTTAGAGATTAGTAAGTTATCACACCAGCAGAACATTACTAACCAAGAGTCACGGCAGTCATGAAAAATAGCTGAGCGCCGCTACCCAGGAGTACTGATAATAACATAATGTTATTAGGAGGACGGAAAACATCACCGTGAACCAACTTCCAACCAAAATCTTCCTGGACATCTTCCTGCAACCATTATACTAGATTAACACAAGTATCTCACACTTAAGCCACAGGATGTACGTTAAATGAGTGACTAACCTGAGCTTCAATTTGGTTATAACGAGAGATATCCTTGTGAAGTGCACGAAGTAGAATCATGGCTACCATACCCGTCAAGAATAGAACGATAACAATGGAATTGACCAAACTAAACCAATGAATCCTGGGATCAAATGTGTGCAAATAATTATCCCATCGTGTCGCCCATGCAGTTGGTGATATCTGATGCAAGAAAAATCCTTAATTCAAGATCGAATATAAATTTTGTTCTTATTTAGAGGTATAGTACATACCGTCCAGTCAACTTTATAAGTATACCATACTGTATTGTCGGTTTTCTCGTCCAAAGTTAAAGTTTCAGTCATGCGACAATTTTTAGCATCATCTAAAGACTCGTACTTATGACTGAAAGAGTTTAAGCAATATGTGAACTGGTAAGTTAAGACATAAGTAAACCAGATAAAAAGACATTCATAAATACCTCGAGGGACGGACGAGAACACCAACGACACGATATTTATTTTGGTCTTGCTTGTGATACTGAATTTCGATAGCATAATGATTATGCAATAAAGGGCTCAAATTTGACATGGTCCCTTGATTACCTAACTCAAACCCAATACTATAGAAAACAGAATTGGTTTTTGAATCCGTCCTTTTGCTGGCAGCGGGAAGTCCATCGATAAGCCAATTTATCGCATAATTTTCACGTATGCGAGCGTTAATAAATGAGGCATCTTCTCCCGGAATTTTGCTTGGATTCTCGCAAAGTACGTGACAGGACTCATTTTTAAGCATAAACAACTAATGATACCATATTAGAAATATTCGAGAATAAATATTTTTTAAACTCATCGTTCGCTTCCTGGTGACCCTTTCCGCATCCACAAAAGAAAAAAAAAAAAACTACCTCATACGGAGAGTTGAATATACGATCTCCAAATAGGATACTACCCAATGATTCGGGTTGATCCTTTTTGTCCTCGGGCTCACAAAAGTGAAAAGGCTTGTAGTAATAATCATACGGAATAATAGATTTAAGTAGTTGCATCTTTGGCCCCATCATCGGTGTAAGGGAGTTGACATGAACATCTACTTTTTCGTTTTCCTCGTAGTCATGAGGAGCAACGCCTGGTAAGTAAAAGGCGGAAACATGCGTGGAAAAAAGGAAAAGAAGGATACAAGTGATGATGAGGAATCGTGAGGGCGGCATCTTGTGGTTTCTTGGAAAAAGGACGTCTTAACGTTTAACGTAAGTTCCGTTCGTTCAATATAAAATTCTATCAACCAATCAAGGCAGTTTCTCTTTTGTGCAACTGGTCTGTTAATCGGGTCCTTATCTTTTTTTTCATAAATAGAATATGGCGAGTTTTGCGCAACTTTTCATTCGATATTTATGTTTAGCAAATAGTCATGTTACACTCTTCTAAAACGTTTCAATATTAAACACGTGATAAATTTACATTTATTTTATTTTTAACCACTTAAAATTGTCAGATTTTATTTAAATTTTTATACATAAATACATTTGAATTCTCGTGTATAAAAGAAAAAACAAAAAGCGAGAGAATTAACACTCATATTTTTCTGTGGATAAAGAAATATAATTAGATTACGTTTAAAAAGTAGGTGAACTAATGTTATAAATGATAACTTACGCTCATACATTTTTTCGGCAGCTTTCTTGGCATCCCATTTCGCCTTTTCAGCATCAATATGTTTTAATCCTTTCGTTTCAAATAGCTTTTCAGCTTCAGCAGAAACCAAACCTGCCAATACCTATTAGTTAAAGGCGATGAAAGAATTAGTATGTTAAAAGGATGCAACATTAAATAATTGATACGTAAGACGTGAAATGTGTACCTCTTTAGCAAGAGCATGTTTATCGTGGTGACCCTCTTGCTCACGTTTCTTTTCATACGCCTTGAAGGCTTCGAAACCTACAGCACCAGCCACTACTTCGTGACTTAAATGGCCTTTATGTTCATGGCTACCTGAATATACTTCTTTATGGTGCTTTTCATGTGTACCGAAAAGATTGTCTAAATAGAGAATCGATGAGTATCTAGAAATTATAACAAATTACTTTGAAGTAATAAGTGATCGTTACCCATTTTAATTGATTATGTTAGTGGTGCAAAGAAAAGGCAGCGTAGTTTTTTTTTATCACGTAGAAAAATAAGTGTTTCAAGAGCAAGTGAGTTTGCAACAACTTACGAACTTTCGTGTTGCTTTTATAACAAATTTAACATTATTATGTGGAACATTCCATCTAATTTATCTAATTGTTGCAATGATTTACTTAAAATTCCTTTCTTGTGGATATTAAAAATGTACCTTCTTATGTGAAACATTTATAAAGAAAGAAACAGTGAAACGTCTCTTCAAAACGCGTGGGAATTCGCTAACATTGGCGTTTTCGATGAGGCTTAGACGCAACATAATATTTTGAGCCTCACTTAACCTAGAGTAACCAACACGAGGCGGAAAAAACGTAAGTGTGCAACAGTTTCATGTAATAATGATATAATGTCTCAATTTGCCTAATTATGGATTTAATTATACCCTTGAAGTGAAAGTACCTTACATTTAAATTGCATTCGATCTTTTTGACAGATTATCGCACGTATAATAATCCATCTCGATTCAATTAATAATATCGTACATTAATATTTAATCCATATACAAAGAGCTTTCGGGATAGATTGGAAAGTAATGTAGATTCGCCACAATTTATTTAACAATAAACAAATTGTCAATTGTGTCAAAATCTCATTATAATTTCTCTAACTAGAGGAAGATGCACGACTTATGCACGTTGCAAAGATTTACCTGAAAAATCGTTAACCTTTATTTGTTTACACAGTATCTACAGTATAATTTTCGCATTGTTCTAAGAAACTTAATTTTAAATAAAGAAACAAATTACGTTAAAGTCGTGTGCACGTACATAGTTTCCCGTAGAATACTTACCAGCCTGCCGATACAAATAAGTATAGTTTTTTATTAGTATTACATTACTGTATATACAATGTACTATATACTGCATTAAAGAATTATAAATGATATTTTAAATTGGAAAAATTTATTTATTATATTACAAAACATTTAAAAAAATCTTGTCCAATATCAAAATTATTTAAAATAATAAAATTAAAATAAATAAAATTTTTTAAAAAAACCGCAATATATGCTTTACTAAATATTTTTTAATTTATATTTTTTATACTATTGTTTGTATAATAATTTATAACAATTATTATTTACTTTTATTTAATAAATATATACGTTAAAAAATTTCAAATAATTTATTATTATTATTATTAAAAATTTTCAAAATATTATACATTTACTTCAAAATAAATAAATCAATTCTTTTTAATTAATTATATATTACAATAAATTATTTAAAAATTCAAATTATTTTATTTATTATTTGATTCTTCACTAAGCATTTTAACAAAAAATATCCAATAATAACACAATGCGATTGTTTTAATTACTATTTATTAACATGTAAGAAAAAGCTTTTTATAATTTGGGATAATAGTAGTTACCAATTTGATAATAATATATATATTGAGAATTAAGTAACATAATGATTTCACAATTCGTCCTTTTGAGGTGTCAATTGTTCTTTCATCTTATCAAACCCTTTGCCCAACTTATCGGTACCTTCTTCATAGCCGCTAGATACTTTATTATAAGCTGCCTCATAACCTTCTTCAGCATATTCTTTCACCTCCGACAATCTAGTCTTTAACAACTCCAGAAATGATTTCGCCTTATCTTCGCTAAAATCACGTACGTACTTCAAATTACCCAGTTTTTCCTTGACGGTATCCGACAAAACCTTCGCTTGTTTGCTTGTGAGTTTATGTGTAGTCGCAAGTTCACTTTCAATTGTCCCTAAAACCATTTCTAATTGTTGGTCTCGTGTTTTTCTTGCTTCATTAAGTCTTTCTTGTATCGTTGCAATGATATTATCTAATCGTTGCTCTTGTTTTTCCTTACTTTCAAATACCATTTG